AGTTCTTCCTCTTGTTGAATTTGGCACCTTTTTGTGGGTTAGTTTTCCTTAAATAGTAGTGACACTCTTTTATGCTTATTTTTTACTTAAGAATCCTAATTTGCCTATGTATTCACCTATCAGTAATCACCTGAGTGATTAAAGAGCTGGAATAATGGGTTGCCAGGACCAGTAGCTTGTGTTCTTACTGTGGGCTCCCCACCTCTCTGCACTGGGGCATTGCTCTTCTGCTCAGTTCTTGGCGCCCACAACAGTGCTTTGTCCTGTTAATGATATAACTGCTTCTTACCTTTTTACCTAATAAAAGGAGGGCAAAAAGATTTAGCTTCCCAGTAAATCATCCCTAGCATCAATTTCTTATAGTTATTGACTCCCAGCTTGAAGCTGCCCTACATTTAGCTTATGTCCACACCTGTCTTCTCTGTAGCCATTTCAGAACTATGGTTACTGATGGTCTAATTTCTCTGTTGATCAGATCTTATTATGTTCTATTTTTTGTGATCTGATCCTTCAATATTTCTGATTCATTGATGATACTCTCTTTTATCTTGTGAGGCATTTATGAGTATATTTTGTTTTCTTAATATCTATTTTTTTGTCATTTCCCACCACTTTTAGAGGAGGAAGTCTGCCATCTTTATTCAACCTCCTCTATTTTCTAAATAAGGAAAATTAAATTGAGCCATCTTTACTTGGTGTTTCTCATGCTTCAAAAACTGTTTATAATACAGTTACCCTTTCCAACAAAATAAATAAATAAATAAAAACACTATTGTTCTGAGCTCAACCCTGGAAAGAGAAATAGCTATTTCCCAAAAGGAAATAATGACATAAAATGAAATATTAATTGAGAACACAAGCATCAGTATAGGCAAAAATGAACAGCTGGTGTTTGATAGTGAATCTTTCTCTCTCTACAAATCCATGATATCTACAATTCTATTAGCTACTGAAAGGGCATATAGTTAAATCAAATAAGAAGGGACAGGCTTCCAAATTTGGCAGTATTTTTTTATAATGGGCCATGGATATGACTTCTTCACTTCTTTGTAAACACCTAGTCCTACAGTATGGTTTATTGAACAAAGCCTTTTTTTTAGAACTGGGTACATTTCACAGTTTGTCCACTCACATTTTTTTACTTTCCCTTGATTTGTCTATAAATGTTGGATTAAAAATCTATAACATTTGGACAATTATAAAGTACCCTACAAACTTGGAGGTGGATAAAGAAAGATTGTCATATTGCAAAGGAAACAAAGCCATTTTTGTGGCTGCATTTGCAGGTTTTGCTCAACCCTCCTCTATCCTACCACCCAAAATGATCGTGTCCTCGTGCCTGGGATTCACTCTCACATCTAGCCATTTGTATCAGGAAGAAAAAGAAAGATAGTGAGTAGGTCAACTGAGAGTTAAATCTACAGATGGATAAAGATATATCCTGTTCTAATGCTTCTGTTTTTTTGCAATATCTACTCCAGTTTCATTCTCTGGTCTAGCTCAGGTGCCATGAGAGGCTTGCCTGAGATTTGAGGACACTGAGCTTTGGAAGGTGTTGACTGCTCCTGAGGATTCTTTACTGGTGCTCAAAGGAATGGGGTGGGGTGAATATACACCCATGCAGAGTTAGGAAGGCTCACTGATACACAGGAAGAGGAGGAGGACACCCCATAAGCAAGAACAGTTCTTCCCCAGACCAGATCTTGATTTCAAAGTAGGTTTCCAAGCTCAATTGTTCCTCTCAGGAATATGTAAACTGCCAAGCTTGTATTTCACATCTAGGTTAGTGCTCACACCACATGCAAAGAAATGACTGTGTGATTAAAACACTGGCCCATCCCTCTGGCAGAGAAATTTCAAGTATGTAATTTGTAAAAATTTATATTTAGTGTGAAGATTATTCCCTAGTAGAAAGTCTTCCCTGAGGATGCAGAACAGGTTAGAATCCTTGTATCTTGCCCTCAGAGTATTTATCTCAATAAAAGACCTAGCTACCCATTTCCTCATAGGTAGAAAGTATGGATCTCTGGGCCAGAAGCCAGAAAGGTTGGGCAGAATGGAGTATTTTCTCACCTTTCCCCAGAGGGCCATGATGGCACATCTCTAGGAGGAACTGATGACAAAAAAAACCCATATTATTTCCTCAAGTCACTGCCAAGTTCCTTAGATAAGTGGACATTCCTCAATGATCTGGCAATCTGTTGACCTTAGTTGCCCATATTATGGGTCACATTTTTTCTCATCACTGATGATTTAGAAAGAAGGTTGGGCAAGCTGGGGCAGGTGCCAGCCTGAGGTCACTCTGATGTGACTGCTGAGATTGGTATCCTGTGTATTTTGTGGTTTCATGTCTGAAATTAATTTTGTTTTGGTTCTTTTCTTCCAAAACCAATGGTTTTCCTAAACAACTGTTAAATTGTCTCCTAAACTATCAACATTATTTTGCGTGAGATTTCTCATAAACTCTAAAACTATAGTTCCATTCAGAATCTAGAAATATTACTTACAGACTTATTCTCTCTTTTTGATAGGAAGAGATTATATGATGTCATTTCAAATAAGAAAATAAAAAATTGAAATAGAAGGACACAAATAACATTAGGGGATATAGAATAATCCACAATCAGTAAATAGTCTGAAAAAAATATTATTAAATCAAAGAGAAAATAGTTTGGAAAAGAGTTTCCTGGAACTACACAACCTCTTTTTCTCTCAAGAACATGTCCATTTCCTTGTTAAAACATAAAAAGGTTTAACTGATTATCATAACCTTGTAGCTTTGAATAATAATAAAACCTATATCACGATATTTAGCGATTTGAGAGCAAATGTATTTGGTATTTAATTTTCAACCCATAAATGTGACCAGTCGAGTTGCCCAACCATCCCTCAGATTCACATTAGTGAGAGTCCCCAGTAAGTGGTTATGCACATTCTTTCTTGTAGATAATCATAATTTCCTCCCAGAAAGGATGTCATTGTCACTGAAGGGTGAGGTGACAAAAAAGACTGTGGCATGGATGCAGCCACCAGCCATCAAAACCTTCAGATTCTACATATTTTCCTCTGAAACTGATCTGCTCAGGAGACAAGTGGGCCAAATGAGTAGCACAAGGTCTTCCACAAAGCCTTTCCCCATACACCTCCTTGTTCCTTCAGCAAACCAGCTCCAGTTCATAAGGAGAAAAGGGAGCAGAACACTCAAAGAGGCTGGGAGAGGGGATGAGGATGCTCACTCCCAACCATTCCGTGGCTCCCTTCTGCCTCCAGGGTAATGTGTGAGCTCCTCATCTGGACACTTCAGGCTCCCAGTTTCTGTGCCCAGTTGACATTACAGCCTCACTCACACCACAGGGAACAGCAAGGGATGGGACCAGAAAGGTAACAGGCAGCCAGAGCAGTCAGGACCTTGGCTTTGATGCAAAATGGGGTGGGGGCCATTGCAGATTCTGAGCAAAGAGTTACATGCTTCACCTTATGTTTTATTCGCACTCATTCTTCTCTCATGCACCCTACATTTCTAGTAAACAATTGCTTTTACCCTGAGGGCCCTCTCTAACCATCCCTGCCTGTAACAATGTTACTGAGCCAAACAAAGCTGGGTTCACTTGCCCAAAGTGCAGCAAGCCCAGTACTGATGGAGGAATGTAGTGAGACAAAGTGGGAGGTGACTGCAGGGCACCATGCAAAAATGGGTGGCTAATGTGTAGGGTCTCAAGCTCTGCATTGACTTACAAGCAAGGGATTTTAAAGGCAAAATTATGGAAATGGGTTGTAAGGTATGTGATCAGCTCTTACCCATTCTTTTGCTTGGTTGGTGGCAAGGTGATAGGGGATTATTAGTTCAGCAATTTTAGTCATCAGTCTCCTTGCTCCACCTCCACCCAGTATGGGATACACGTGCTTGGGGTCGGCAGGTGGATCATCTGGTGAGGGTCTAAGATCTTACAGAACATCTCAAGGATTCATGAGTCAAAAGTTTATCTATGTCCTTGAGGAGGAACTAAGAGTCCTCTGTCTGTTTAGTTTGCTCTACCTTGGTTTGTAAACTCCCATTTTCATTAATCTTCAACTACCCAGTCTAATTCCCACACCCTCGGTGGTAATTGAGGGACTCAGTATTCCCTTTGATTTGTTAATGAGAAATCTGAGAGACACTACAGAGAGGGCTGCCTGTGGGAGTCCACATCCTACCCGCTTCCAGTGCTTATTCAAAGTCCCTCCTACCCGAAGCCACCCTGAGTCCCTCCGGCAAGATGTGACTCTCTCCAGGTCTACTCTTACAAACACTCAAAGTACTTAATTTAGACCAAGGTCTTACATTTTCTGCCTTGTACTAATTATTAGGAGTTAGAGACAAAGTTAGATATGTCATGCTTTGAGCCTCAGCTGGATTGTAGATCCCTCAGGCATGAATTACCTTTTATACAGCAAAACATTGCTGACATTTCAACTAGGGGAGAAGCCAGGTGCCCTTGTAAACTCATCAACTTGGTTTCTAGGCCATCAGCTATAAGACAGATAGCCACCTGCCAGGAGTTTTGCCAAAAAGTCCAACAGTTCAAGTTTATCCACATTTCTAAAAATATAATGAGTAGGGATATTCATGTTTAATAAAGTGAAGACCAAATTATCATTCAACCAATTTGTTCCAATGAAAGTGCTTTGGGCATAAACACCTATTCTTACCCTTCAGGTGGAATTCTGCAGAGATTCATTGTCTCCACCATTCATTTTGGGATTTGTATTGTACTATCATCTTTGCTACCTTTATTTGCCATGTTTTTACTCACCCACTAAAATGTAAGTTCTCTGGGGATGGAGGCCTTCCAGCGTTAGTCATGGACCCCACCTGTCCCATTACACACAGACAATTGCTCAAAACGTATTTGCAGGTGGAATATTTGCATGACTCTTCCAGGTCTTCTCCTGGCCATCAGTTGCAAATGACATACAAAAAGAGAGGGTCCAAAGGTAAATGTCTGCCTCTGTTATAACAGGATTTTGTGCCAATGTATCAAAATTTTGAGAATTTTTACAAACGGAACCTCTATATGAGAATCAGAGACAACTGGAACCGCCCCATCTGCAGCGCCCCAGGGGCTCTGTTCGATGTAGTGGAGAGAGTGTCAGATGACTACAACTGGACATTCAGGTGAGGTACTGGGTGGGTCTCGATTGAAATAAAATTTTTCAGGGAAATCCTAGCACAGTCACCAAATTGCAAATTTGGAATAAACCAAAGCATGGTTTATGCTTTGGAAGCAGCTGGTCTTCCATCAACTCAGCCAACATCAAGGTAAGTCACAGCAATTAAGTTATCCAGGGCAGCTTGTTTATTTTTTAACTAAAGTGAAACCTGTGCTAAAAGGTGCTGGATATACAGAGCCATCCAAAAAGAGCCCTTTTCAGTTTTATTGATAAATTATACCTTCCTACTTCTTGCTGAAGGAGACAGTAATGGTCATGGCTCTTCTCATGTCCAGAGCACAGATGTCACAAAAAATGAGTGTCTAAGGACATCAGGGCTGAGTAATAGCCCATGGCTCAGGATACCTCTTTTCAATGCTCTGCCCAGCTTCACTTGGGGTTACTTTTCTGTAAGGGCAAACTATTTCGTGGTGACAACACTGCAAGTCAAAAGGCAAAAATAAAACATACGATCTGGGCCATAAAGACCTCTTTGTAGGAGTCTTTTGTGGGGCACTCGGATGGTATTAAATGAGAAGACACTTTGTGCTCACCTGCCCTTCCTTCTGCAGGTTTACTGGAAGAATCATCAAAGATGTCATCAACATGGGCTCCTATAATTTCCTTGGCCTGGCAGCCAGGTACGATGAGTCAATGAGGACAGTGAAGGATGTCTTAAACACGTATGGCTTAGGAGTGGCCAGCACCAGACATGAAATGGGTATGTATTGTCACTATTTTGACATTTTGTCCACTTGGGTCTCAGATTTCTTGTGGCTGCTTCTCAAATCTAGACAGTATGCTTCAAAATGCAGTTATAAAATACAAAAGGTAAAGGGCTATGAAAGTCTTCAGAGAAATTTCTAATATAATGCTCTTTCCAGGCAGATTATTAATCATAGATTTTAATCCTCCAGAATAAATAAAATTGGAGCTTTCTTGACCATATTATCTAAAATAGCAATTATTATTTCTCTCCCATATAGTTCTTTTCTGGATCCTTTTTTTCTTTTTAGCAGCATTATTGAGGCATAACTAGGATTTTTAAAAAACTGTGCTTACATAATGTGTACAATTTGATGAGTATGGACATACACATGCACCCATGCAATCAAGGCCACAGTCAAGGCAATAAACACATACATCACTTCATAAAGTTCCTCTATGTCCCCCCACCCCACCCCTGCTTTGTGGTAAGAATAGTTAACATGAGATCTACCCTTTCAACCAAAATTTTAAGAGTACTATACAATATTGACTATAAACACCACGTTGGGCAAGAGATCTCTAGAACTCATTCATCCTGCATCGCTGGAACTGTACCCACTGAACAACAACTTCTCATGTGGAGTTGGCTCTTTCTCCCACTTTTTTTAATGATGTCCCTCACCAACCTTATTTTTGCTTTAGTCTATTTCCCATCTCTGTTATTCAAACAAGCCTCATGGAAGAGGAACTGGCTTAGCTGGCGATTGTGTCGAATAAATGAATGATGAATGGATGGATGGCAAAAGTAAAACAGACTGCCTATTTATGTTTCTTTTTGCTGGAACACTTTTCTCTTATTCAGAGGCATGAAATCTGTGAGAAAGAAACTTCTGCTTGTCTTCCCTTCAGGGAGAAAGAGTAATGTAAGCTTGCTCCTCCAGAGTGCTTTACTATTCCTGGCACATGGTTTACATGGTTTTCTTATATATCATCTATTTACTCCACACAAAAATCCTGTTCTGCAGGCAGCAGTGCAGGTGGTGTTACTCCCATTTCTCACGGAGGAAACGGAGGGTCACAGTGAGTAAGACATGTGCCCGAGGAAGCTTTTTAACCACTGTAACACCCAGTCTAGCTTGGCTTCTTCTACTAGAGCAGTTTCCCATCCATGATAACATATGCAGGGGTCACCAGGTGGGTTTCAGCCCTGTGGGAATCAGAGGTAAATCTGCTAAAATGAGATTTATCATTTATGAAAAATAAGGGGCATGCCTCTCAGATAAAAACATGTACGTTTTCAGACCTGTGCAACAAAGAACAACTCAATTTGAACAAAGTAACTGTTTTATCCACATATTAAGTAAACCCTTAGCCAAAGCTCCAGAGCATACAAGTGGTTGCCCAGAGTTCTTAAAAAAGACATCTTTCTTATCTTCATTTTGAGGCACAAGGGCTAGAAATAATAGCAGGATGCAGAAGGAAGGTCCTACTCCACTTAGAAGAACTGGTCGCCCATGATGGCCCATTTGGAGGCCGGGTGGAGACCGGGAGAGCACCCCGTGACAGGAGAAACCTTCGGCCATGTTTCCTCTGGTGGTGGTGATGCCGAACATCAGGATTATTAATGAACCAGACAGAAAACACACTCGTGAAGATCCCCAACTCACTGAGACAGAACACCTCCCCTCGCAGCCACCAGAGGCTGGACAGAGACAACCTGACATGAGCAGTGGTTTGCCTCCAGTGGAGGCCACATCTGAAGTGTGGGTCCCTGATTCTGCAGGCTCAACAAGCCCAGAGAAACCGGCAAGAGGTACAGATCCCAGTTAGGACTGCCTGCAGCCTAAGTTCTTCCTCTACCTACTCATCCCTCTGAATCGCAGGACTTCTAATATTCACCTGCTTCAGTGAGTTACCCAGCTCAAGCTCTAGAAAGACCTTAGCAGTTTTTAAGTAAATAGAAGCCACATACATTAATTTCAGGCAAACAGAAGTACTGGAAACAAGAATATAAGCAGCCAAAAAAGTAAGTAAACAGGGCACATTTGAAAGTTTACTGAAACATAAATAATAACCCTAACTAGGCACGCAAGAATTAGTAGCCCAATTTCTTTATTTCAGAAAACATATGCTATATATAGTCTTAAGAAAATATTGACCAATGCCAATGAATTAACAATGAAAACTTGGGAATACAGTGGCATAACAATTTATATAACCAAATAGCTTCTTGAGGAACCAGAAGTTAAAGAATCTTTAATCACTTGAAAATACTTCCCAGAAGCTTTTAACAATAGTTTGCCACGTTCTAAGGGGAAAAAAACACAGAAAGCATATTACAAACTAGGAAAATTAAACAAATGACAAATCAAAAAGAAGTATTGAAAACATAATGAGAGGATAGAAGATCACACATATTATTTTAATGAAAAAAATATGTAACTAGAATATATCTGCCTATTGAGACAAATAGGACTGAGATTTGGCCAAAAACCTAAACTCAATTAGATGCTGTAATTAAAAACAAATACAACTAAATTAGAGTTATTTTAAAGGGTAGAGAGTAGAAAGATAGGTCCCAGGCAGGCACCTGGTTCCTGCCTCCCTGCTGCAACTGCCATCAAAATTCCCTCAGTGCCCAGAAGGAAGGGAGAGTCAGTGGAAGGAACAATGAATAAGGAGTCCAAGAGTAAGGTTGTTGGAAAGTCTGCACCTGCAAATGTTAAAACCAAGTCCAAAACACAGCTGGAAATGACCCATTTACAGACAGATATGTACAGAATTGCAAATACTCTTTTTAAGACATGAAATGATATGCCACTGTTTATTTTCATGGACAACTAAAAAATAATGGGAAATGGAATTAAAGGAGGCTTTGACTCTGTTGTGGGTCAGTTTAACATTCCACAGGCTGATGCAGATGGAGCAGTGTGCATTTTTTTATATTCACCGTATGAGGCAGAGTGAAATGGCAATGTAAAGTCATAATCAAGCATTGAAAATGTCTAACACATTTTAACTTTGTAACCTCCTGCTCATGTTTGTTTTTCTTTGAATGTTCCTTGAACTGGGCTGTCTTCTTCAAACTGTGTGCCATACGTGACATCTTTGATAATAACAGCCTAGTTTTTCCTAATAACTTTGTTAATGTGCTGTGAAAGATTAGAAATTTTTGTGTTTGGTGTGTGTGAAGCTGCATTGTGAATTAGCGAACTCTAGCCTCAACAGCTTACCAAAAGTTAAAAGACAGGTATTAAGGTATACCTCTTTTCAGGGGGGCTTGCCTCCAAAATATTAGCTGGGAAGTTGCTAGAAGAGCTGTTTACAGATTGTAAAAGTACATGGATTTTTAGATTTTCAGCATGGGGATTGAGAATTGTGTTCAATTGTTGACAATGCCTGACTATTAACATCAAACAATAATTAGTAATATCTCCATTAGGCAATATATTTCCACACTTGATGTTTAGATTTCTTTATCTGAAAGAATTATCAGTGTTCCATATGTGAAAGATGTTTACTTGAATCTCTTTTTTTAACAATGGACAATGTAGAGCAACAGGCCCAAAGGACAGTAAATGCTACCTCCTTTCTCTTCTTTCATATGAATTAAGCTTCACAAAAAGAATAAGCCGAAGCCTTAAAAATAAATAAACAACCTGGGTGGCAAAAATGCAAACAAAAGGAAAGCAGAAGTTAAGCTTAAAGTTATGAATCATAAAACATAATGACATTCACCTTATAAAAATTAGATAGAGATCCCAAAATAAAGATAGGTACACCTCCTCTATGTGTTAAAGCAGAGACATACATGATTGCTTATTTCTCTGTATAACCGGAAATTAGCAGGATTATGAGTTACAGGAGGCTTTGAAAATCATGTGACACAAATTAAATGAAATGGTGATAGGAGACCATAAAGTACTTCCCAGTCCTTGAAAAATAAAGAAGGCAAAAATAACAAACAATCAATAGAGGCATAGAGGATATTAACAGTGTAACTGTTGAGTTTAATATTTACATATTGAATACTGAGCCTTAAAACATTATTACCAATATTACTTCATCTTTTTAAGTAGTTAACAGATTTTCACAATTTAGTCTATATTATGCCATAAAGAAAATCTCATTAAATTTCAAAAATTGGAATCTACATAGGTCACATCCTTGGATCACAGTGAAGGCTAAAAGTTAGTAACAGAATTAGAAACAAACCATTTTAAAAAAACAATTTGAAGATTTTAAAAACCTCTTCTAAGAGACTCTTGAATCAAAAAGGACATAAAATTACAGTTGCATCCTATTTAGAAATTAATGATTATGAGATCACCATAGGATCCAGCTATTTGTGCACTCTGAGGAAAATACGTATTCTTTCTTTACTAGAGAAGAAAGACTGACGCTCATAAACTAAGCAACCAATAAATAAGCAGTTACGAATAAAAGAAAAGCAAAAGCACTGAATTCTCAAAAGTAAAACATAAACTTATGAATTAGAGAACAGTCATTTCCATTGGGTGGAGCCATCTGTATTTTTATAAGTCACTTGAAGTGATTCTGGTGAACAGCCAGAGTTAACAACCACTGAGCTAGCATGACCCTGATCCCCAAACCTGACAAAGAATATTTAATAAAAGGAAAATTATAAGGCATTATTACTTCAGGAAAAAAGTTATAAAAAAATTGACATTGTCAAACCAACTGCGCATTCAAATAACAGGACCCCATGATCAAGTAGTTCTATTTAGGGATTATAAGGAAAATTCAGTAATAAGATAATTTATAACATCAGAATATCCAAAAATTAAACATGTGCTTACCTTGATAGATGTTGCTGAAGCATTTATAAGATCAAGTATCCATTCCTCATAAAACTTTTAATAGAATAAAAATGGGAGACTCCTGTAGAGAATTAAAAATATCTACTTCAAACAAAGAAACTTCACTGCACTTTGTGGTGAAGCTTGCATTTTAAAATCAAGAAAAAGGAAAAGATGTGTTTTTATTTTTACC